GCTGTATCCGGACCTTAGTTGTGCCAGAATTGAACGGGTTTGCCTAGGAAGAAGCCTTTCACTTTCCGAAATTGCATGAGGATGTTGTTGTAGGACTTTATTGTATCTGTAGCCATTTATGGCATCGGAGACCGCCAGTTGATGCACGGATTTCATCGCGTTCGCTATCGACAATCTGTTGACGTCCGATGGAATGACGTCTTGGATGTCATCACGATAGCGCCTGAAGTCCTGGCGGATGTGTCGCGGAGGTGGATCTGCCATCACAGTGTGATGGTTAGGATGACACGGCAGAAAGCATGCCAGCAGGAACTGTCTAGTCAACAACACATTATGTTGCTTGACTGACAGCATCCTGGTCTCCTCATGGAGGTGATCGACGCTCGTCATCTGGACACACCCGGTTGCAATTCGGAGTGCATTATTTTGGGAAGTTTGCAATGATCTCCATTGTGTGTCGCTAAGGAAAGAAGTCCAGACTGGGGCAGCATAATTCAGGATGGAACGACCTATAGCCTTATAAGTCGTTACCAGCGTTTCTTTATCCTTGCCCCAGGAGGTGCCAGCCAAAGCTTTCAGAACTTTATTCCTAGCTTTCACCTTCTGGTTGATGTAATTGGAATGCGAGTAGAAATGAAGGAGGCTATCGAAGACCACCCCAAGGATTTTCGGATTATGGACGGTGGGGATGCGCCTACCTTCAACGGAAATGTCAAGTTCTAGATTGACTTCTCGCGTCCAGGAAGTGAAAAGTGACACGGTAGACTTTGCTGTGGATAATTTTAGATTGCGCTCCCGGAAGAAGTTTGTGATGGTGGCTAGATAGTTGGAAATTCTTGCACTTACGTCGTCAATGTTAACGCCGGACGAAATAATCGTACAGTCATCGGCGTACGACACCACTGAAACATCTGGTGGTGGAATGGGGAGTTTCGCAAGATACATGTTGAACAAAATGGGAGAAATGAGACCGCCTTGCGGTACTCCCATTTTGATCTTGCGATATTTGGATTTTTGGCCACGGAACTCAACGAAGGCCTGCCGCCCATTAAGGTAGTTGGCAAGCCAACGCTTGATATCACACGGAAGGGTGGAATTTGTGATATCGGAAATCAGCTCGGAATGATCGACCGTATCAAACGCCTTGAACAGATCTAAAGCTGCCACAATGGTCCGTTCAGGTGGTCGTCGCTGATTGAGGCCATTCGCAATCTTGGAAGTAATTTCTTGCAAAGCCGTTGTTGTGCTATATGATTCCCTGAAACCGTGTTGGTGGGGAGCAAGAACGAAATGCTGTTTCAGGGACGGAAGCAATAGAGACTCTAAAACCTTGGCTACTGGTGACAGCAGAGAAATCGGGCGTTAGGATTCCCCATTAGTAGCGGATTTATCAGGTTTTAGGATTGGAATAATCCGGCAACTTTCCAAATGTCAGGAATTACCAACTGTGACATCGATAACTCGAGGACTTTGGTCAGATAGCCCAGCCCTATTGCTCCAAGCTTCTTTAACATGAACATGGATATGCCGTCTGGACCAAGGGCTTTGGATGGTTTGGATTTGGAGATAATTGCCTCTACCTCGCTGGATGTAAATGATAGTGGCTGCAAGTCTCTTTTAAGATTCTTGGATCTCCGGATAACTGCTCGCTTGGTCCTGTTCTGCGAAGATGGATGCTCAATGAATTGGCGGCAGAACAGCATTGCACATTTTTTGGCATCGGAATGTTGAATGTTATCGAAGGAAATAGCAGGGAGATTTTTATTTCTTTTGGAGATTCTTTTCTTTAAATCTTTGTTGTTGCTGTCTGTGATTGGCGATCAGGCTTTCAGCTCTTTTAACTTGCCGATAGAATTCTCCTAAATCTCTAATTTGGGCGGAGAAGATCATTTGCGCTAAGGATGGCTTCAAGTTACATTTTTCAAGTTAAATTTTCTGTGGTTCCAATACCAATCCAAAGCTGGCTTGTCCAACAGCTGGTGGAACTTGGTTATAAATTCCTCTTCAGGGCAATTGTAATCACGTTTTAGCTCTCCCACTCTAAATATAAATTCTTGGACATTCATTGTCTTATCGGTGCCATCAAAACTGACTCCCCATTTGGCCAAATTCAGACGTCCGGTAGCCTCGGAATTTGCACTGGCTGTAGCTCTGGGACCATATGGATCGTATACTTCCGACCTTACTCCCATATTTACAGGATTCGGTAGCCTATATGTCGATTGTGATTGCTGATCCGGTCGTGCCGACTGTGGAACCCCTCTTTGATCTGGTGGATGCTCGGAAAAATGCGGTACAGGTGGTGGGGGTTGCGCTAGTAATGGAGCTTGTGAGTAGCTTGGGGTCATTTGCTTGGTTGATACGGCGAATACGAGGTGGTTGTATTTGGAACAGGTTGTTGGACCACAGAATCAGAAGCCAAGCGCCTTGTTGGTGGAAATCCCACATCCATAGGTAGACGGACTTGCGTGGGGCCATTCGCTGAAGGCAAACCACAATTGGCTGGATGGACAGTTGACGGGGGTTGCTCGCCATAAACCCCTAAAGAGCGTCTCGTGGCTTCCACGATCTGGGGTATCCACACTCTCATTCGTTCCTCTTCTTCCTGACGGAACTGATGTCTTGCAAGATCAACAGCTGTATTGATGATTTCTCGGACTCCCGTACTCACAGCTGGTTCGCTTGGTCTAACAGGTGGCGGCTGCTGCAAACCTGTGAGCATGCTGTACTCTGGCGATGGAACACTGCCATGCGACCAAAAAGATGCATTAAGGGAATGGGTACCGTCTCTAAACCATGATGGTATTGGTGGTGCAGTTGACGAACTAGCTGCAACAGTTGTTGTCACTGGAGTGGGGAAAGCGTACGTGGCCGTGGTTACAGTTGGAGCTGTAGGAACAATTGTAGTGGTAACTGTGCAACCCTGCACTAGAATTGGCCTACTTGCTGAATCTCTATCTGTTGACCTAGTGTTTACCATCTTGAAAAAGTTACGTAGATTCAAAACTAAGTAAAAGGAAAATCTCACTAATTCATATGCTAATTCAAATACTATACGAATTCACTTTCTATCTGCACTATAGCACACGCAATATATGCTAAAAATACTCTTACGCAAAAGCAAAAAAAAAATAAATAAATTTTATTTAACACTTTTACAGTCACTAAAAAAAAAATGATTCTATATGTGAATATCAAAAAATTAAACGGAATTCCAATGGATATAAAAAAGTTAAGTCAGGTGGTGGGATTACGGATAAAGGTAGAGGTAAGTAAGTCAAATTACTGCTTCCATCAAAAAAAAAAAAAACACTTAATAAAGGTTTTCTCTTATTTTCCAGATATTTAGGTGAGTTCAACTACAAGAAATACAGAAACTAATGTGTTAATTATATTAGTATTTTCCAAACACTTAAATTCTTCTCCATGTCCATTTGTGTAGCAGCGCGTCTCCTAGCTTATTATGGCTTGATTGGACGGGACTCCAAAAATGTCAGTGAATAATAATTTAAGAATTTGTTAAGTACTAAGGAAACAATGGGAATTAAAATGAACTATTGAGTTGAATAAAATATGACAAGAATTTTTGGGACTAGTGCAATTAGAAGTCTAGATAAAAGACCAAACGACTAAGCCACTAGACCAAGAAATCTTACCATATTTAATTTATGAAAAATAATTGATGTTTTCCTTCCGTATCTTCGATGTAGCAACGCGACAGGGACTCTCAAAATTACCTAAAAGGGACTCATTAAAGAACACGGAAAGGACATTAATTATTGTCATAAAAAGGACTATAGATACATATTTCGGGCCCCACGTTCTGGGCGCCATTTTGTAACTGCCGATGTTTTGAAAATGTTTATATTTTATGTTCGTTGATTGGCTTTGCCGGTATGCTGGCGTTTTGCGCGGCTAAAGCTCGACGGTTAACCTGCCGAGGAAACTCCCACCCGCCGAGATTCCTTCTCGCCATGACACATTTTTGTGTCCCTAATCTGACCTACCCCTTTCTCTCCTTCACCACATCCCTACCACCTTCCTAAAATATTCCTTACGCCGAATACATTTCAACCTATTTACAGAAAATTATATCTTTAATTACCATATTTTTTTTTCACCACTATTTTCAGGATAATCTTCCCCAAAGCTCGCGTATGGTATGTTCGTAAGTATATAGTAGCCTTTTTTTAATACATTCCAGTATTTTGTTATATTTTATGGTTTCTTTTTTTAATTTTTCAAATATATAGAAAGAGGCAACCAAGGCGTATCTGCCTTTACACTTTAAAGGCTGTCTATGTTGGTGGTCCCTAATCCTGGCCCCGAATTAGAAAAAAAAAAACAACAGGTGACCACAATCGATATATAAAAGAAATGCACTTGTTCACCCTTTAACTTTGTTCATTTTTTTATAGCAAGATTCGCTTTGGAATATATCAAATTCGAAGCTGGTCGTCCGTCTGTCCGTCCGGCGTTCAAGGTAGGTAGTCGCTTTGGCAAGATACCTGGGCATGCCGGACTGGTCATGCCATAAAGTGATGATTCTCCCTCGTTGGATTGAATGTGCGATGCTGTGGCTTCTGATATTTCCTTTTTAATTTTATTTTAAGCAAAATTGTTTTTCAAATGTTTAATATTTTCATGCACCTTCAGTTGGTTTCTGTTTGTATTGTATTGCTGTTTTGTGTTGTCTTTCAAATTCAAAATCAATATTCCACAATAAAAAATTGGAATTTAAAAAAGATGTATTTCCTTCACTCTAATCAGGGCCACACAACCAATCTTCATCAAGCGTCAAATCAAAAAGGAACGAAATTTATCCATTTAATCAGGAAGAAAGGCTCCTGTCATCAGCTTTTATTCTTTTGTTTAGCATTTATTCGGATTCTTTCAGACGTGTTTTGTTTGACATTATTCATAAACATATGGTTTGACTATTGTGAATGATCGTAAATATGCATGCTTCTTCTTATTCTCAATAGCAAACAGAGGCGCACCCCACATTTGTTTACAAATAGTGAGTTTAGTTGTCGTTGTTTATTCTCTGTAAGAATTTTAAAAATTTAACAAAAATTAAGTTTACAAAAAAAAAAAACAAAAAAATAAAAATATTTAATTTAAAAACAATAAAAATTAACACGACTTACTTATTTTTGGGTTCTAACAAAAAAGGGAATAAACAATGGCCAGAAGGGCCTATTTATATAAAAAGTGACATTAAGCAAAACAACAAAAACAAACAAAATGAAGATGTTGGCTTAAATTTAGTTTCGTCTCCCTCTTCGCTTGGGATATTTCGGCCATTTATGACAGTGGTATTTCAAATTTGGCTACACTTTTTTAGCTTTGGTAATTGCAGGGTTACCATCTCCAACATCCCCACCCCCGTGAACTGACCCAGAGGGGGAGGCTTCACCAACTCCGTCTCCAACGTCCAAAATGGCATGTTTGGGCACAGGTCTGTGGTATACACCGGCACTCGTTCTCACCTTGGCTGATCGTGCCACTCCGTCTTTGCCCCTGAATACTTCGATGACTCGTCCACGTCTCCATTGATTCCGAGCCATCTCTGGATCACAAACAAACACAAGGCAACCAACATCCAACGACCGAGAAGAAAGACACCATATTGTTCTTCGAGTTAATTCTGGAAGATATTCCCGAAGCCACTGATGCCACATGCCATTCTTCAAATTTTGGGTGACGCGCCACTGCTTCCTTAAACACATCAGTCTAGGCTCAAACGGTGCTGGTTGAATTCTGGGTTGAATTGGTACATCCTAGCAGAAAGTGGTTTGGAGTCAATGGATCTGGGTCTTCTGGAGTAACTGGCAAATGTGTAAGTGGCCTGCTGTTGACCATATTCTCCGCTTCAATCAGGAACGCTTGTAGAGTCTCCAGTTTTGGGGCTTGCTCCTTTAGCATGATGTAAAGAGCCTTCTTAACAGATTGGACAAGACGCTCCCATACTCCGCCTTCGCTGGGATTCACTGGCGTATTGTAGACCCATTTTATTCCAAAAGCTGTCAGACCAGAAGAAACGGAATTAGTGTCTAAAAAATTGGTTATACCTTGCAGCTCCTTTGCTATGCCAACGAAATTCGTCCCATTGTCGCTTCTTGTCATCTCTGGGACTCTTCGATTGATGAAGTTCCGAATACACATTAGGCAGGAATCACTCGACAGGTCTGTTGCAATTTCCAAGTGGACAGCGCGAACTGTAAGACATGTAAACAGTGCCACCCACCTCTTTTCTCGTTGTCTCCGGATTGACACTGTTACAGGACCAAAATAGTCAAGTCCTGTGTAGGTAAAGGCTCTGACATAAGGTGTGACACGTTCCAAGGGTAACGGGGCCATTTGAGGTTGAATTGGTTTGGCCCTACGAATCTTGCAGACAAGACATCGGGACTGAACGCTTCTTAGAAGTTGACGGAGTTACGGAATCCAAAATCGCACACGAATTTTGCTCATTGTAGTGGCAAACATTTATGTGACAAAAACGAGAATGGTAAAATTCCACCAGCAAAAGTGTAAAACGATGAACTTTGTGTAGAATTATTGGTCGTCTGGTATCCAGGGACAAAAAAGGAGCATTTTCTATTCTTCCAGATACCCGAAGCAAACCATCACTTCCAATTTGTGGATTTAAAGACTTTATGGAGCTGTTGGCAGACACTGATCCAGTTCTCTGTATGTCAAGAATTTCATCCCCATATACTTCTTGCTGTACGCAGCGACAGAGATACATTTCTGCCCGTGCTTCTTCTTCAAATCACCCGACACCACTGATTTCCTCTTCATATTTTCAACGAATCGGAATGTCCACGCCATTGCCCGTTTCAGCCTACGATATTTTGAAAATCTATTAATATCTGGAATACAAAAACATACCTGGCAAGCCACCAAAACTTTGTATTTGTTTCTTATCTCTGTTTTGCTGTGATCCACACAGATTCCAATTTGTCCCTCGGCCAATATTTCTCTTCTTTTCTCAGGAATTCTGGCCCATTTTTCCAGCGTTCTTCTGGCTGGTACTATTTGGGTATTTTAGCACGGGTCCCTTCGTCAGCTGGGTTTTCCGCTCCTGGACACCACCGCCACTGCTCCATACGGCTGCTTTCCAGAATCTCCGACACTCTATTTGCCACATATTGTTTGTATGTACGGTGTTCTGAACGGATCCAACTTATCACTGTTGAGGAATCTGACCAAAAATAAATGTTATTAATATTCTTCAAATGATTTTCCAAAATTTTTTCCTTCATTCGCACTCCAATTACTGCTGCTTGCAACTCAAGCTTAGGTATAGTATGGTATCTTGTTGGGGCACAGCTCGTCTTGCCCATAACGAACACAACACTTACACCACAATTTGTTACTATACGCCAGTATGCCACAGCAGCCATTGAATCTTCACTGGCATCCACAAACACATGTAAATCTACTATACCATTAAAAAAATCCATCACTGTAACACCTCGGAACTTTGAAATCCTTTAATTTCGGCAATTCCTCCAGCCAGATCTTCCAGCGGCTATAAATCGCGGCCGGCAACTCCTCGTCCCACTTTATACCACTTTTCCACACATTTTGGATTATTATCTTTGACGTTACCATAAAATCACCAAGAAACCCGAATGGATCGAATACGGACATATTTAAAGACAACATTTCGCGTTTCGTTGGCACTTTTTGCAATTTCAATATTTTTTCATTCACTTTGTGCAATTTTAATTCAAAACAAAAAACATCTGATTTTGGCAGCCAATGAATACCGAGTACCCGTTCCATTCCATCATCAAGAAGGGAGTTGCCATCACTTTCATCAGAAATAGGGTTGCCAAACATACGTTGTAAAACAGGGGAATTAGACTTGATGTTGCGGAGATTAAATCCACCCTCTTTGTGAATTTTTATGACATCACGTACCACTTCAACGGCCTCACCTTCAGTCTGGAAACAGTCGACGTAATCGTCTACGTAATGACGATCGATGATTCCTTGTACTGATCTTGGCGACTCGTTTATAAACCTTCGGGCATTTAGGTTTTTCACATATTGGGCTATGGTGGGCGAACAAGTGGCTCCAAAAATCATCCGTTCCATTACATAAGTTTCTAAGGGTTGACTGGGATCCCCATTTCTCCATAGAAATCGCTGACTGTCCTGATCTTCTTTGGCGATTACAATTTGGTGGAACATCTCATGTATATCTCCGCACACGGCTACAGGAAATTCCCTGAATTTAAAAAGATCAGAGAGTTATTTATGTCAGGTCCAGGTAATAAGGCTTTATTTAATGAAAATTGTTGAACTTCAGCAGCAGCATCGAAGACGATACGAATCCCATCTTTGTTGGGATTTTTAACGCCAAAATGTGGCAAATAAAACGTTCGATCGCTCCTTCTTTCTCGTTCTGCTACTGAAAGTTTATTCACTGTCCTTTGCCATTTTTCGTTCCACACACTGCAATCGGTTGTACGACAAATTGTACGATTCTGGAATTGGAGAAAAATTTTCTTTCCACAAAAGCGGACAATGATATCGCCCATCGATTCTTTTCGTGTTTTCTCTTAATATTTTTAACGCTCGTTCATCATCTATGGACAGAATTGGTGTCACATTTACCTTGGTACCCAATGTCTCCACGTCGAAATATTGCCGCATCATGGTATGCATTTCCTGAAGCAAGTCACAATTTTCTTCCTCGAAACGTTTCCTAACGTGTAAAGCCCGCTTAAGATTGGAACTCTTCTCGCCTGGGATCAGTCCATATATTACGGCGCCTAATCTCGTTAGTGTAATGATTGGTCCAACATCGGTCATCATACGAGGAGCTTCCAAGGGAACTGTTAAAGCTTAATATTAGTTTAGGTTGAACATTCGAATAATCCCGGAATGGGATTTCGGCGATTTGGTCGATTTCACGGGATTTAATTAAATGAGCAAGATGGCAACTCTGTATTGACAATGATAGATTGGACGAAATGTAAACTTTGGTTATCGGGTACTTGTACTCACCGACACCACTAATTGTCAAATTAATTTTTTCAGTTTTTTCGTTTATGTTTTGGTTATTAAGCCACTGAATTTCTAAAATCTCCGGTTTCCCGTGTTCTCCGAGTTCGCGAGCAACGTCCTCGTCCAGCATGGACACATTGGCGCCGTCGTCAATGAACACGTACGTCGTTATTTGTTTGTGTGTTCCATATAGCGTCACGGGCAAAATTTGGAACAGTACGTTTTCGGTGTAGTGGGCGGCATGACAATTTCTTCGTTCTGTTTGAGACGGTGGTGCGTCGGGTAGAGGTGGGGTGTTCGTTCGTGGCTCCATATCGTGTGTGGGTAATGTTCGGTTCTGTTCCTGGGATGGCGTCGCGAGTGTTTTGTGCAACAATTGGTGGTGTGATTTTTGGCAATCATTTATGCCACAACGACGCTTATAGTGGCAATTTTGGAACAACTCTAGTTTAGTAAACACGATCAGATTTTTCTGAAATTTTTTCCAGAGGTAGGTATTTTTACCCTAGTTATGGGGATATATTTTTTTCTTGGGGGACGTACCCGGTTATTTGACCCTGAAGTTCGGGTACGGATACCCGGTTATATCCGGTTCTAATATATAATATAATATGATGGGGCTTAAATGATAGACCACGATTTGCCCTTTCCAAAATGGTGCGATATGTGGCTGTATCTATTGTGGATCAAAAGATATGGGCCTTAGAACCCTATAAAAACAAGGAAAATCTTTCTACATGACAGAATCTCCTTTAACTCTTTGTGGCCCAATGTTGCCCACAGGCAACAAAATGTTTTAGAGCTTATTTTTAATATGCAGCTAGTAGATATATATTATTTGGATTTCATATGTCAAGACCTGATTATGGACGATACATATCAAAAGAAAAATCAAAAAAATTCAAAATGTTGGTAAAGTTATGAGCTTTTCAATATAGAGAAGAAGCTAAATTTGTGTACAGTACCAATTTGTGTATACAGTCCAAATGATTTAAATCGCTTCGTATTTAAATGGTATGAATTCTGCCATCAAATTTATTTTTGATTCTTATAAAAATTAATATAGAGAATAATTTAAAACGATTTTTCTGTCGATTTTGCATTTGGTTTTCTTGATATTGGACTTTAATTTTTCTGAATGAATGTACTGTATCTCCCAAATGCATGGATGCAGCGATGTCAAATTTTGAGCATGTCCTATTTGGGATTGTTGCATTAAATCTGTGAACAGAAATTTGTTCTATGATTGCGGAAAAAATTCGGGGCTCAAAGGGTTAAAATAGCATGGTGTTATTTGGGTGATCGGCCTTCGGCCGGGGATTTAAGACTTTCTCCTATGGACAGATGCCAACACCGGCTACGCGACAGAAACTCCTTCTAAATTGAAAATTTTGTTGTGTAACCGGCCTTCGGCCGGGGATTAAAGACTTTCTCATATGGACAGATACCAACACCGGCTACGCGACAGAATCTCTTGTTAAAAAGAATATTTTTTGGGGTGACCGGCCTTCGGCCGGGGATTTAAGCCTTTCTCCTATGGCAAGGGATAAAAATGGGCAAGGGTTAAATTTTTTATGTGCATTTCCGTTGGAGTTATTTGAAAGTGAATTTGGAAAAGATTCATCTGTGTTGATAGACAATGCCGGCAGTTGATGCACTTCTGCAACTGTTGACTTGTTGTTGGCGGTACTGTTTGTGATGGCAAAACTACTGAATGTAATGGCAGATTCAATGGCGGCTGTGGCGGCAGACTCAATGGCAGATTCAATGGCGGCTGTGGTGGCAGATTCCTTTGTGGCTGTTGCGGCGTATTCAATGGCGGTTGTTGTGTCGTTTGATTTGAGAAAATTGGTGGTTGTGACGTCAGTGTAGGCAATGCTTGCTGCGACATTGTGTTTTGCAAAGAAGCAAATTGCTGTGACGTATTTAATAGTTGTGCTTGCATTTTTGCTTGTGCTGCTAAAAATTCGTCTTGCATTGGTTTCATCTGACGTTGCATCTGTTCCATTTCAAATTTCATAAGTTTTCTCATCTCGGCTAATTCATTTGCAGGATTTGGTGTTTTGGCTGGTGTATTTGAAGGCGGTTTTTGGAGCTGTAACTGAGAAGAAGAAGATTTAGAAGTATTGGCGGGTGGTGTATCGACTGCTGCGGCTGCAGCTGGCATTTGTTGCTGTTTTTGGTGGCTGCTGGTAAATGTATCTCCTGTTGGTGAGCGAACGACAGACATATCGTAAGTGTCAGGGTTATATCGGGCTGGCGGAATTCCTTGAGTGCTGCGTCCACTGGTTCTTCTGGTCAGATCTTGGTTTTGTGGCATAAAACCGGCAGAATTTCTTGAATACAGGTAAGAATTATTTTTTTTGTGACTTAAAGTGGTGACAGTTGTTTTTATAAAATGTCCGTCCGTTTCAATAAACAGCAACAATAAACACAAATTCAACAAGACAATTGACGACAGAAATTAAATTGACATAAAACAAATAAACAAAGAATAAAGAATAAAGTTGTCCTTTTTTGTTATTTTCCAGGAATAAACCTAAACTCGGCTGGCTCCCAAATGACAAGACTGGCAGGATTTCGGCAAAATAAAAATAGCTGCGTTTATTTGGTTTGTTTGTTTACAAATAGTGAGTTTAGTTGTCGTTGTTTATTCTCTGTAAGAATTTTAAAAATTTAACAAAAATTAAGTTTACAAAAAAATAAAAATATTTAATTTAAAAACAATAAAAATTAACACGACTTACTTATTTTTGGGTTCTAACAAAAAAGGGAATAAACAATGGCCAGAAGGGCCTATTTATATAAAAAGTGACATTAAGCAAAACAACAAAAATAAACAAAATGAAGATGTCGGTGACAGTGGTATTTCAAATTTGGCTACACTTTTTTAGCTTTGGTAATTGCAGGGTTATCATCTCCAACACATAAAGAATTTCATATGGGTGAAATAAGTGACAGCACATATGTTAAATGCATATCGTGTAAAAACACCATTACTCCAAAGTCCAGTAAATGAGAGAACTAGTTTGACAGTTCTACTCTGAGAACTTCCTGAATATTATAGTGCGTTTACATTTAACCGGATTTCGTTAACCCAGTGAGGTTTCAATTATCAATTCCTTTGAACATATGTATGTGAAATAAATCCTAATAAAGTAGGTTAACCCGGTAAAAAGCTCTAATGTATACGCCGTTTTACTGGGTAAATTTATTCTCGAAAGATTTATCCTGCACAATTCTATGTATTTCAATCAGCTGTTAATTTTAAATTTTGACCCATGATATAAAATATATGGTGACCTCATGCTCACGTATGACTATTTTTTTATTTTGGCAACCCTTCATTGTCACAATAGTTTGTTCGTATCGTATTTACTCCTCCTCCAACTAGTCCACATTTTATTTAATATTGTTACGAATATAAATTTAGATTTAAGTTACTTTAGATGAATTCCGTTAATTTAAGAATTTGAATTGTAACGTAAATTTCTACTACGCAGTTTATTTGAATAACTTCACAACAACAACTACTGTATAGATTTTTCTACATCCTTCCATTTCCTCTTTCATTTTCTATTTTTGTTATTGTCGTACAATTCTCGTTAAACGTCATTCCTCTTTCTTTGTTATTCCCTCGCCTGTATATGTGTTGTTGTTATTCCTCTTTCTTTGTTATTCCCTCGCCTGTATATGTGTTGTTGTTATTGTTTACTCAATGTAAGTTTGTATGTGTGTTTGTTGCATTGGTAGATTGTTCGTAATCTAGACGTTACCAGATCGTCTAGAAACTTCTGTAGCGACAGGCTAGGCTCATATAAATAGAGGAAGTGGAAAGGCAGTGAGTCAGTTGTGAATCAGATCGCGAATTGAAACCGTCGTGTAAAGTAAAGTGCAAAGTAAAGTTGTGTGAATAAAGTCATTGTAATAATCGTAATCTGAAAGAACCCGCGTTTTATTTGGTACGAATTGTATCGGGAAATAAAACAACGTCTACACGGGATTAACTAAAATCCAAAATCGTAACAATTGGTGTCGGAAGTGAGATTACGATAATACTACGATGAAGTTTAAGGATCTACGAGTGGAAGACTTGAAGAAGGAGCTCAATAAATTGGAATTGTCCTCTACTGGCAACAAGGCTGAACTACAAAAACGTCTGTTGGATGAGTTCGAGCGCCGTGGTATGGACATCGATACATATGAGTTTGACAGTAAGGATGAGGTGGATTTATCGGAGATGTGCGAATCCAACGGTGGGAAAGTCTCGTCAGTAGCTGCCAGGGGTGACGATTTCAGAGAAATGCTGGCTAAAATGTTGGAGGAAAATTCCAGAAGGAGCGAGGAAAACACGAGACGAATGTTCGAAGAGACTTCCAAGAAGTTAGAAGAAAATTCGAGAATAACGAACGAGAAACTCGAGTACATTACAGAAGTTATTGGAAGGAGAGTGGAAACCGTGGAGGTCCAAATTAAAGAGTTGGATAAGAAAGTGCAGTCGGTTGACGAGAAATTTCTGGCCCACGACCACAGGTTTACGAATCTGGAGAAGAAAATGTCGGAACTGGAAATTAAAGGGGGTCCGGTGCGAGTTCCTGATAACACACTAAAAATCAAACCTCCTGTATTCGACGGCTCTACGTCATTCAGTGTTTTCAAGTTACAGTTCGAGACAGTGGCTTCTAGAAATTCGTGGAACGACAGCGACAAAGCGGTTGCACTACTTCTGGCATTGAAGGACAGTGCTGCTGATGTTATACAGAGTATTCCTGTCGTTTCTAGAAATAACTATGAAGATGTTATTGCTGCACTGGAACGTAAGTACGGTGGCGAACATAAACGAAACATCTACCTTATGGAATTAAGGGGAAGAGTACAGAGGGCAAACGAGACGTTACAAGACTTTGCAGCTGAGGTGGAACGTTTGGTGCTAATGACGTATCCAGGAGAGGATCACCCATTGCTGGACCGTATGAAAATTGAAACCTTTGTGAATGGCATACGTGACCCTGAGATTAAGTGTGCAACATATGCGTCACCAAAAGCGTCATTTGCCGAAACTGTGTCGTTTGCCCTTGCCCAAGAGACGGCAAGAATAGTTGTTAAGCCCCAGACCCACAAGATTCGCCAACTGGAGACCGAAGGTTGCGAACCCAAATCTCTCGTTAACTCGATCGAAGACGCCATGAGGCGGGTAATAGAAGAGACAAAGTTAGTTGGGATGACTAAGCCCAGGGTTAGATGCTACAACTGCGATAAATCAGGTCATATCGCGCGCGAATGCAGAGCTAAGCGCAAACGATCCAGGTCATCGTCACCACCTCCAACGAAAGATGGTAGACGAATGGCTCAACAGTCCACCAATGAGTCACCGTTAAACTAAATCGAGCCAGTCCAGCGGGGCATGAACTGGCTCCCATCGACGATGGCCCCACAATCTCCATAGCAATAGTACAACAGAAAAGTCACAACCTAACAACAACTGGGTACATCAATGGTGACAAGCGAGTTCTGACGTTAGATACAGGCGCATCAAAGTCCATCATAAGATCAGATCTGGTAAAGGGAAAAATAACGCAAATTAATGGAGTCAGACTGCGCACAGCAACGGGGGAGCCCGCGGCAGTACACGGCAAGATTACCCTGAGACTGACTATTGCCAATAAATCGGTGAATTACGAGTTTATAGTTGCCGATATCGTAGACGAAGTGATAATAGGCGCAGATTTTATGATTGCCTTCGGTATCAATCTGGATATGAAAGAGCGTGTGATGACCTGGTCTAACGTTGAAATTCCGTTAAACGTGGGCTACGATGAAAGTACACCCATTAGACGTCTGACTACGGACCATCCAGAGATAATACCGCCCTGTGCCGAAGCAATAATATGGGTACCAATGAATGGAGATTGTGGAGCCGAGAAGTTGTGGGTGGTGGAACCAGCAGAAAACCGAAACAGTAACATCCTAATAGCGAATGCCCTGGTGAAAAGCAACAAGGACGGATTAATTCCTGTTAGAGTTTTGAACCTGTCGAACAAGCAAGAGCAAATTTGCCAATTTTCCGGTGTTGGACAATGCACACCAGCTGAAGCCATAGTTAATTTGGAAACTAGCACCGAAAAGCCAGCAGCCATGGAGAAGAAGCACCTCGACGGCTACATAAAAGAGTGGACACACCAATTATCACCTTCCGAGAGGAACAAGGCTAAGCAGCTATTATGGAAATATGCCTCTACCTTTGCGTTGACAAAAGAGCACCAGGGAAGAACATCAGTGGTGAAGCATGAAATCCATACAGCAGACGCGAGACCCATTAAGCAGCCTCCAAGAAGTGTTCCTCTGGCAAAAAGAGACGAGGTCCAGAAGCTGATAAGTGAAATGGAAAAGAGTGGTGTAATAGAACCATCGTCAAGTCCATGGTGCTCCCCAGTGGTCTTGGTCAAGAAGAAAGACGGAAGCACCCGATTTTGTGTGGACTACCGAAAGTTGAATGATGTCACCAAGAAAGACAGCTATCCGCTTCCAAGAATCGACGACACATTGGACACATTAGCCGGGACGTCATGGTTCTCCACCCTCGACCTGCAGAGTGGGTACTGGCAAGTAGAGATCGCCGAGAAAGATAAAGAGAAAACAGCGTTTGGCGTTAATGGGGGTCTCTGGCAGTTCAATGTCATGCCATTCGGACTCTGCAACGCCCCGGCTACATTTGAAAGGCTGATGGAGCGTGTGTTAAAAGGGCTGCAGTGGAAGTCGTGCCTCATATACATGGATGACATCATAGTCATGGGACGCAACTTCGACGAACACATCAAGAACTTAAAGGATGTTCTACAGCAGCTTTCGTCTTCAGGCCTCAAGCTGAACCCAAAGAAGTGCAGTCTCTTCCAACGAGAGGTGAAGTTCCTGGGGCACCACGTGACGCCGGAGGGCATATCGACGGATAAGGAAAAAATTCAAGCCGTCAGAGATTGGCCGCAGCCCCGAAATCTCCACGAGCTGCGAAGCTTTCTGGGTCTCTGCACCTACTACCGTCGATTTGTCCCAAATTTTGCCAACATCGCCGCCTGTCTACACCGCTTGACGCAAAAAGGCCAGAGGTTTCAGTGGGGCAACGACCAAGAAGAGGCATTCAGTAAACTCAAAGACATGCTATGCAGAGCCCCCATTTTGGCATACCCTATACCTGGCGGAAAGTTTGCTCTGGACACAGACGCAAGTGCGTGCGGCATCGGTGGCGTCCTTTTCCAGGAAATCGACGGACAGGAAAAAGTCATCGGGTACTACAGCCGGACATTGTCGAAGCCTGAGAGGAATTACTGTGTGACGAGGAGAGAGCTGCTTGCTGTCCTTGAGAGTGTTAAACACTTCCACAAATACCTATATGGTCAACATTTCCTGCTGAGGACCGACCACGCTGCTCTCCAATGGTTGCTGCAGTTTAAGAATCCGGAAGGTCAACTAGCCCGTTGGATCGAGAGGCTCCAGAGTTATGACTTCAAAATCGAGCACAGAAAAGGCGGAAAACACGGTAATGCTGATGCCCTGTCTCGTCGGCCATGCAAGGTAGAATGCAGGCATTGTTCAAAGGCTGAGTGTAAGGAGAATATCGTTGATGTCCGGCTATTGCAGTTCGAGTCGGGTGAAGATTGGTCGACGGAACAACGAAGGGATCCGATTCTGGGCAAAATAATTTCGGCCATAGAAACGGGCAAGCGACCTAGTCGCAAAGAAATTACCTCCGAAAGCCCTCTTTTAAAATCCTATTGGGCCCAGTGGGACAGTCTGCTTATAAAAGATGGTTGCCTATATCGCAAATGGGAAAGTGAGGACGGTAAATCTCACCGGAA